TCACAGTTACGGACAGGTATTGACAACCTGTTCCACAATAAACTATACCACACTGTAAAAAACTCACAACGCATTTGTTCCTGGTGTTTTACGGTGAGTAGTGTATATGCGTTGTTTCTAAGTCTATAGTCTGGGTCATGGATCTTATTTTGGTAGGAGGTTAGAAAAGAAAGTTCACATATTGCTTTGTAGTGAAATACTAAATTGTTCATTATCTTACGGTGCTATAAAGCTCAAGAGAGGTGCTTACATCTATCTGTGTAGTCGAGAGTGGAGTCACTTCCTAACAATTTGGGGTGCGAAGCGCGTTTGAACATCTACTCCTATCTTGCCTGTGGTATTCACATTTGAGAAGATGAAAAAGCAATATTCAAGGGAGGGTCGTGTACATATTTTGTCAAAGGTAATCTTAGCTTCTGTTATGACGAAATAGGTCATTATAAAGCCAATTAACCAACTAGATTTAGAAATCATAAACGAGGCATTTTCTTCAAACAATAGGCTTCCTGTGTAAGTAATACCTAGATCGTGAACTGATCTCAGTGTTTGAACTTTACTTTTACTTAAGAGAGATTGTAAATCATAGGGACGTTTTTCGAAACACAAGATCCCACACTTGTTGAGGTTAAATGGTAATTGTCATTTCTCTCTCCAGATAGGTTATTGAGGTCACTCTGAATTTGGGATACATTTTCACCTAGAGCTCCATGCTTGAAGCTGTAAATTATTTTGAGGTCATCAACATATAAGTATGGTCTCCAAAATGTTATGGTGTTACACACGTCGTTTTACTTGGGAAGCATCATCGATGGACAAGGAGAGACGGATGCAGACGTAAATGGGAGGATTGGTAAAGCAAGTGCCGCATTCTTGCAATTGAAGGACATATGGAACTCAAAACAACTGTCAACCAACATCAAAGTCAGAATTTTCAATACGAACGTCAAGATACCGTACGGGGCTGAAACTTGGAGAACTACTACTACCATCATCAAAAAGGTACAAGTATTTCTAAACAGTTGTCTACACAAGATACTCAGTGTCTGTCGGTCTACTGTGAGAGGGGACAAACCAGCTTCGAGTTGAAGAGGAAATTGGGAAAAGACATTGGAAATGGGTAGGACATACATTATGGAAATCACCGAATTGCATCACGAGGTGAGCGCTAACTTGGAATGGTGAAAGGAAACGGAAACAAAGAAGGTCAATGAACACATTAATTCGAGAAATAGAAACAGACATGAAAAGGATGAATAGCAACTGGAAAGAATTGCCTAGGTCTGTTTTGGCTGTAGAATGCTCGTGTTTATCCCATGCTACTTTTCCAACTATAATATTCAAAAGTGGTTTTGAGCAGCTCAACCTATTATCTTTTTTTATGTTGCTTAACGTGACTGTGATTATTCGATAAATTATTTTATGATTCATCAAACCACTGGTATTCTTCAAGCTTCGTTGTATATGACGTTTTTTATTGGTTTATATACTGAAGATTTGCAAAATATGTCTGCTTCACAATAATTGACATCCATGATTCAAACTTTAACCGAACAGGTCCTTGTTGTGCTGCTGAAAAAATCACCTGGTACAGGATTAAATGCACAATCACCACTGGTAAGTGTGTAATTAAATATTCAGAATCTAGATGTTTTTGATATGAAGTATTTAATTTGTTATTTCAGAACATAGTGTTAGTAAGGCTTTATAACCTTTTTGCGACTTGAAAAGAAACTTATTTTTAAAGAAAGCGTCATCACATGGTCAGCATTAATTCAGAAAGTGATGCAAATAATGGTAAGAAAGCAACGTCTTGAGAAATTTTGTAGATATTCGTCTCTCTATTGAATCATAACCAAGAATAGTTGGCTTTTTCGTCCTGTAACATATACAGAGATTAGGCGGGGCCTACCAGTGATTCAAAATAGGTCTTTGATACGTTTGCTGAGATTATGGGAAGTACGTCCTTTGCACAAACTTTCATTGGATCGTAACCACAATCCTCAAAGCTGAACATGAAATAACTAGGAAAATAGATATTTAACATTTAAAGCGGTGAAAAACCGAACAATGGAAGAAGCGGAAAAACGAATTCAGCTAATCGGGTGGCATGGCTCAGCCTTGCTGGCGTGGTCTTTCTTGTGTGACCTATCTCTTTTATTCATATTAACTATATTGTTCTACCTCCAGCCTAAATGTGTTCTCCATCATATATATTGGTGATTGTTGCGACACGATGAGTCGGTGTAGACAATGATATGACTTCCACTTAAGATCTTCGAGATTATACAGTTACATCATGACAAATCTACAATTTCGGGGTTACGTCTGTTACTGGAGCATTACTAAAAGCGAAGTAGACCATAATTGTACAGTACAAGTATGGACAATCAGTACAACGCAGAGACATGCCATCGATATATTATCTTATTTTCACTCTCGCTCAAGACTTTTCGTTAAGAACTAAATGTGACGAAGAATAGTGTCCTTGCTTATGACCTTCAACCGCTGGTCAAGGCATACATACGTTGCATAATGCAGACGGAATATGATGAACAGTATTGTTTGTCTCATGTTTACTGTATAGCTTAAACTATTATTTAAGAGTGACTTCACAACTGGACAGAGGGTTTGTAGTATATTTAGCAGGAAGTTAGTATTGATATATTAATAAAATATATATTCCAGCCTTGGAAAGGAACACTCCACAGTTTCAGGTATGGTTTGTCTACATTATGCCTCCCAAGTGTGATTGCTAAATAAATGAAATAATTAAAAATTAAAGCAGTAGATTATGGCACAAGTCTCAGAGCGTTAATGTTTAGGTTATGTCTTAGTATTGCGCTGAATTCGGAAATGGCATCGCGTCCACATTGCACAACAGGTTCAAACTCGGCACTATTGTGTTAGAATTCTAGTCGTGCTATGCATTTATGCCATACAACTTTTAAATTTACAGCTGAGTTTAAGTAAATTTATAAAGCACTTGGTGTGGACTGTACCCTTGAAAAAACACGCTCGTCAACGTTGCTTCAGGAAATGGTTATTCGATAAACACATGCAAGCTGTGACTCCTAAATGGCATGAGGTGGCTCTTGAAAACTTCACTGACAACTACATGGAGTGGTCTAGTCGTAAAATGAAGAGGCATCTGTTGACACGTGATGTGTGTATAACGGTGTATTGACGGAATGTAACAATAACGAGGAAAAAAGGTGACGAAGTGATCTGATGGACCATGATTTCTCCTCCAGATGTCCTGCCGAGCTAGCTTGTTCTATTCGGTGTCTAGTGCAGTACTCTTTGGAAGAGGATGTTCGCGCAATATTGTGAATTCATTATATTAGGACATAATTCATCCACAACGAAACGGGGTTCGATTATTTTATTCCTAAGATTACAGACATTTGTGCGGCACATACTTATGATATTTTAAGAATCACTCGTTCTTCCCATATAAGTATTGGAAGCGTTCGTTTTCAAGACCTAAGACTCATCAAACACTTTCACGACAATACAGGAAAAATTTGTATACAAGTTGAACTCACGGGGTTGTCTCACTTATTAGCTTGGCTAAAGACACCCTTGCCTAAAAACTCTCGGTTAAACATCGATATCAGATCATGTCCAGGTACTCCAGGAGATAACTAGTCAATTTAGATTGTATGTACCTCAATCTGCCGATCACCGCCCAAATATGTCTTCGAGTTCCTCAGTTCTTGATATGTGATGTGACCGACTTAGAGGATCTCTGTTTAGGAAGAGGTTTCGGATGACAATGCGTTTAGCCATGTATATCTTCATATTTTTATTAAGAGGTTCGATTTACCGTTTATGATATTGAGGCTGCTGGTTTACTGTGTTTGTGTGCCGAGACATATAGTTAAGTTGCACTTTGTACCCATAGAAAGCTAATAGCTAAAGCCAGATAGGGAGTTAAAAGGATTTCTGGAGAGCTTCACAGGGTTTTCGTTCGATTTCAGCATCAAGAGTGTAGTTTCTCAGCTAGTTTTCAACTTCAGGTATCAATCTAACTATCGGTTGTGAATTAAAAAGTGTTAGTAGAGTGTGGTGCAAAACGTGTTTATTGCTAGACTGTTGCAGTGATCGATGACTTCGTTATAAAGTTGGGAAACCCACCACAGATTGGGGAGTTTTAGCAATTGACTGTCAAGAGCAACCAAACCAATCCAGTGAGTTTTTTAAAAACAAGAACAACCTGAGCTTGATGAGTCACTTTAGAAAGAAAAGTTATCAAAAAGGCTCATATCGAATGCTCGTTGACCAATAACCTTATTCACTCTTGACAACTTTGTTGTAGCCAAACTTTGTCTAGACACGACATTACGGAACAGTCTATCTGACAACTATTAAACCGTTAGATTACCTCTTTCTATGATGGCCGTGATAAGTTTTACCGTTCGTGCATTTCGATAATACACAGATTGTGGCGTACCTTCTCAGCTAGAGTGACGATAATCTCATTTCCACGAGCAGCTAAGTGCCTGTATTAATCACGTTGTATTTTCAAAACTCTAACTGTAGGAAATAAAGCTGTACATTTATGCCACATGAAGAAGCTGCACGGTGTAGGTTTCGAGGGTCTAAGATGGGATTAGTTTAGGAATATGTTCGTTAGTGATGTGATTACAAAATTACATAAAAACGTAAAGTATCAGAATAAGCAGGGTATGCACGGACACATACAAACCAAAACAAAGAAAAACCTGACAGAACTCTTCTAAATCACCATATCATGGGGGACTCAGATATAGATGCATCTAATAGGACGATAGAACAGTACCATAGTTTTCTAGGTGTGTCACTTTTCGTTTGTACAGAAAAATCTGCCCCAATAAAAAATAAAAAAGTTAACAAATGCTCCTTAGTCTACCTTACTATCATGAGTGCGATTGAAATCACTCGAATCAATCTTATCTCGTCTTAAGATGTTGGAACTTGAGTGACCTTGTCGTTTTTGATCGGAAGTTGGACGCGTCATTATGGCTGTTGGTTGCCTTATAATTTCTAAATTAAGGTCTTTTTCATTACAGGACGACATTTTAGACTTTGAAAGTAAGAAAAAGAAGAAATCAAAGCCTCTTGTGCATGATTTTAAAGATGAACCCGGTAATCTGGGGAACCAAGATATTCTGGACTTTGGTTCAAAAAAAAAGAAAAAGGACAAACTCTTAAGCTTGGACGACGTGGGTAACAAAGAGGACGTAAGTAATATTTCTACATACTTCATTTTGCAGTCACGTCAGGAACCGGAATTTCATAAGAAGGACCCAACAGAAAACGGCGTTAAGCAACTTACTGAAAAACTAACAGATGAGCTCACTTTCTCAGACAAAAAGAAAAAAAAGAAATTCAGACCGATTGAAGTAGATGAAAATGGGGTTTGCGAGCCAAACAGTATGTCTGAACTTATCGTCAGGGATTCATCGGGTTATGATTATGAAACGGTAAGTGTCTACTGCTGTCTTCTTACTAATCTGAGTGTGAGTTTGGTGTCTTATGAAAATGATGTCAACTCGTTTATGTCTTTTCGCGAAGTGAAACCCTTGAATTACTTAAACAATAGTGCGAACATCAGCTTTTCTGCAAGTTCACCCACTTTATGAGTGGTACGTCTGTCGCCTGCTATAAAACCCCGTTTCTAGCTGGCTTGTAGGGATAACCTCAATATGACTACCTTGCGTCAAAACGGCAACACAGTACGTCTACTTGGCGGAACTTATAGACCATAGCAGTATATAGCTTTAGCGTATATTGTGATTTGTAGACCTCAAATTCTTCTTGGGATATTAAGAGCGAGACTCTAATTTAAGGACGACCTTTGAACGAATCTTAAGTGACCTTGACAATTATTAGCCAATCAGAAGACAGTTGGTATAAAGTGAGAATATATTGTAAGTATGTAATGAATTACAGTGGATATTCTTCTTTTACATGATTTAAAAACTTGTTAAGGTTTGATAAAGGTTCAGAGGCTCTGAATTCATAATGCATATTATATAGAAACTCGTCCATAGGGTTAGTGGTTAGGGTTGTAGCCTGTAAGTAGACACATCTCTAAAATCTGATGTAAACCGATCGCATGTTAGCACCCTAATCCTAACCTAACCCTAAACCCTAACCTAACCCCTAACCTCAACCTAACCTTAACCCTAATCTAACCCTAACCCTAACCAAACCTAACCCCAAACCCTAATCTAACCCCAAAACCCTAACCTTAGCCCTAAACCCTAATCTAACCCTAACCTTAACCTAACCGTTAACCCTAATTTTAACCCCAAACCCTAACCCTATGGACGAGTTTCTATACAATATGCATTATGAATTCAGAACTTCTGAAACTTTATCAAACCTTAACAAGTTTTTAAATCATGTAAAAGAATATCCACTGTAATTCATTACTTTCTTGTAATATATTTTTACTTTATACTGTCTTCTGATTGGCTAATAATTGAAATTGCTCAAACGCTTCTCATTGGCTCGTCCCTAAATTATAGTTTCGTCGTCCCATATGTTGTAACCTCTCATTAATCACCTACTCTCTAAAATCCGCTGTGAACCGATTGTATGTTAGCAGCGCGTGTTGAACTTGGCTCCGTGATCTTGAAATTGCTCAAACGCTTCTGATTGGCTCGTCCCTAAATTAGAGTCTCGCCATATTAAGTTTCGACAACTTTCCCACTTGGAGAACATTCGGAATTACTTAGTGATTCGTACCAGACGGAAAATTCATAGTAGAGTAACTGAAACGAATGATCCTGCTAAACGTTATTAAGTGATAATAACAATTCTCTGTCTCCTTAAAGTAATGGAGTGCACAGTTTTAATGAGTTGGTCGGTTAAAACTGGGGCCTGAGAGTGTAGCAATTGATCTGATGTGTAAACGTCTGGTAGAAGTTAAAGAATAAAGTAACGGGTCCACGCGCATGCTTTTGGGGTACGGATTGTGCCATGATGATACTGCGAAGTTACCTAAACGATTGTTAACAATGATCCTTTTACCTAGGGATGGAATGCTACTCTTAACGCATTCTATTAGACCATTTCAATTACCCTAACATATGCTCTACACTTTTAATGCTTAATGTTTCTAGTGTGTATCTTATTTACATCCAAGACAATATACCTCAATAGTGATTGTTTGGATTTGCTGATACTATTCTCTGTATCTCAGACTTTTCTGGCAGGGCTTACTCTGTTTTGTCCTATGTTGGACGGCTGACAGTTTATATTGATTTATCTTTACAGGACTAGCCTTTTTCGCACATTTTTGGAATACCTGTTAAGTGGAAACCGAGTAGCAATGATCCATTATATTTTCCATATCAAAAACAGCTTGTAATATTTGCAGAGAATAAGCTATAAAGTAGCTGGTGTAACAGGTTCTTACTTTCGAGATTGAGTCTGAATTGTTACTATCCCAGTGGTTTTCACTACCACTTTTCCATTCAAATGATTGTTATGCTGGTATTTCTCAAACTCTAGGTGGTTGGAACTAAGTGTATTTATTATTATTATTATTTTCATTTGAACACATAAATATTGGTAAAAGGTGGCACCAAATGTATGTGCGCCATACAAAACAATGAAAATTCGAAAAGAAAAAAAAGAGCAATGGCGAACAGATTAGTGTAAGGTAGTGTAATAATAATGATAGTAATAATGGGGGGACAGAAAGGTACAGTCAGAAGGAATCGTTTAGTTAAGGAAGATACAACCACTGCTTATGAAGAAAGTAAAAGAAGGTTACAGCAGGATCGCCGCTGGCTTCTATTCCGAGCCATATCTGATATCGTCTCTAACCACTATGTAGCATCATCTCTCGGACCCCAACCAGGGAATCAAGAAGGACCAACAGAAGCCAGCCCTTTGCAGCCTTCTTTCATACCCCGACACTATGTCGTACACTGACCACCTCTCCGCTTTTTCCAACCAATCCCAGAGTCGGCAAATAATGCACGACGTGGAATCCTCTGGGACGACATTCCTAGAACATGTCCAAGCCACCGAAGTCGGTGTTTCAAGATGGTGACATCGATTGCATTATCGTCTCTGTGCCCGAACACACGATGCCGAACCTCTGCATTACTAAAATGGAGCAGCCACTGGATGTCAGCAATCCTTCGGAGACAAAGATGATCGAACACAGAGAGTCGTCTAACGTCCTCAACTCGGAGAGGCCAGGTTTCACAAGCATAGAGCAAAACTGCTCTCGCCGACGCGTTGTAGATCCGACCTTTTACAGCCAGACTAACATCACGAAGGCGCCAAAGATGGCCCACATTGGCATAAGCCGCTCTGGCTTTCACTATTCCTGAATTGATCTCTTCATTCGCGCCACCACCAGCCTTACTTTTCAGTGGACAACGAAGTGAACGCCATCAACGGATTGATGTTAGCAAGCTGGTTGCAACTTCGGTTGCAAGTAAGTATCGAACCGAGCTAGCCTCTAGGCTAGCTACCACTCCACCGAAAAGTATAGATGAGCATTGGTTGCAATTGCATGACGCCATGAAAATGGCGGGAACAGTCAGTTGTGGGTTTGCGAAACGTCCCGCTTTTAAGCACTGGGTTTCTTCTGGTTCCTTACAACTCATTGAAGCCCGTCGGTCTACTCCGGGTGACCGTGAGTTTGACCATAAACGAAGGATGTTATGTAAGGAAATCGGGCAAAGCTTGCGTAAGGACCGAGAAGCCTGGTGGTCGAAGCGTGCTAATGAGCTGGAAGCAGCAGCTGCATCTGGTAATTACCAGAAGCTCTTCCAGCTCATCCGAGCCACTGGCAGCAAGAAGTCTGGTGTGAGTGAAACAATCTGCGAGGATGATGGGATGCCAATCACTAACATCCATCGACGTCTTGGACGGTGGGCAGAATTTTTCGAAGGGCAGTTCAACTGGCCTGCTGCTCAGGCAACATCAGTCAGACTGTCCTGCCCTCCATGGCCGGTGACGACTGATCCACCAAACGAGGAGGAAGTCCGCAAGGAACTCCAACTCTTGAAGCGTTACAAATCACCTGACCCAGATGACTTACCTCCGGCTCTTTTTAAAGATGGTGGCGACTTTTTGACTAAGGAATTGACGACGTTGTTCACAAAGGTTTGGGAACTAGAGAGTGTGCCAACGTCATGGAATGAGTCGATAGTTGTCCCTATCTTTAAAAAGGGTTCACATCGTTCCTGTAACAACTATCGGGGGATAAGTCTAATTCCGATTGCGTCCAAGCTATTGGCTTCCGTCATACTTCGTAGGTTGTTCAAAACCCGAGAAAGGTTGACTCGCGAGGAGCAGGCTGGTTTTCGTTCTGGTCGAGGATGTATTGATCATATCTTCACCCTCCGCCAAATGTTAGAACACCGCCATACTTATCAAAGGCCAACAATCGTAGTGTTTCTTGACATCAGGGCTGCCTTCGATTCGTTGGACAGAACTGTTCTCTGGGATTGTCTATTGAAGAAGGGTGTGCCTGAGAAGTTTATTAACATCCTAAAAGCCCTATATAAAAACACCTCAGGCAGAGTGAGGGCATACAACCACCTTTCTCCATTGTTCCATTCGAGTAGTGGGGTTAGGCAGGGTTGCCCAATCTCACCATTCCTCTTCAACTTTGTCATCGATGACATTCTGGAAACAGCTCTGATGAATGTAAGTAATGGTGGTGTGGATCTGTTGCCTGGAGAAAGACTTCTCGACCTTGAGTATGCGGACGATATTGTCTTACTGTGCGATAATGCCCAAGGCATGCAATCCGCACTTAATCAGTTGGCAATCAGTGTCCGTAGGTATGGTATGTGCTTTGCACCTTCGAAGTGCAAAGTACTCCTACAAGACTGGCAGGATTCCAATCCTGTACTCACCCTGGATGGTGAACAGATAGACGTAGTCGAGAAGTTTGTGTATCTGGGTAGCTGTATAAGTGCTGGTGGGGGTGTGAGTGATGAGATCAATTCAGGAATAGTGAAAGCCAGAGCGGCTTATGCCAATCTGGGCCATCTATGGCGCCTTCGTGATGTTAGTCTGGCTGTAAAAGGTCGGATCTACAACGCGTCGGCGAGAGCAGTTTTGCTCTATGCTTGTGAAACCTGGCCTCTCCGAGTTGAGGACGTTAGACGACTCTCTGTGTTCGATCATCTTTGTCTCCGAAGGATTGCTGACATCCAGTGGCTGCTCCATTTTAGTAATGCAGAGGTTCGGCATCGTGTGTTCGGGCACAGAGACGATAATGCAATCGATGTCACCATCTTGAAACACCGACTTCGGTGGCTTGGACATGTTCTCCGAATGTCGTCCCAGAGAATTCCACGTCGTGCATTATTTGCCGACTCTGGGACTGGTTGGAAGAAGCGGAGAGGTGGTCAGTGCATGACATGGTGTCGTGGCATGAAAGAAAGCTGCAAAGGACTGGCGTGTGTTGGTTCTTCACGACTCCCTGGTTGGGGTCTGAGAG